CCCAGGAGTTCGAGACTGCAGTGAACTGTGACTCTGCCACTGCACTCCAGCCTGGGCAGCACAGCGAGACTCCATCTGAAAAAAAAAAAAAAAGGAATGTTAGAGGGCAGGCATGGCTAACTTCATGTTGAAAAGAACATCATTTTCCCCTGTGTTCACACTATAAAATTTGCACACAGAGGCTCTGTAGGGTTGTGTTCTCTCCTGCATTGGGGGATTTGTTAAATGCTTGTGAAGTATAGCTGTCCCACAGGTGATAAGTTATGCACGTGTGAGTGTAACAGGAGTAGGTCCTTCGGGTGGGAGGCATGACTTTGGGAACTCCTCCAATTGTGACTTATGCGAGAATATATTTAGTGCCTCTGTGCCCTAGCCTCTTAGTTTATGCCACACCTCTCTCCAGCAACCTTCAGAAGACCCAAAGAATAGCCTAGTTGTGCTGAGTGACCGGTCCCAGATACTGTTCAAAGAGTCTCGCTATCCTCAAAATATGCCGTGTGTATGTTATTACTTCAGTGATGCCCATTTCTTCACCTCCCTCTCTTGGGTGACATCGAGCACAAAAGAAATACAGGTAAGACTGCCTTTCTTCCCCTTCTTGGCCCATTCTCCCAGGGCCATGCCCATATGGCTCTTAGCCCAGATTGACAAAGGAAGATATTCCCCATGAATTAATGTGGTCTGGAACCAGAAATCTCTCCTTATCCTTTCTCCAATTATAGTCCCCATGTTGAGTGGGTTGTATGGTTCCCCCGAAGTAAACCAACGTTAGGAAAAGGGTCCTAGGCTTCCTGCCTCTACTCTATTTCCAGTTCCCATCACCAAGGGATAAAATCACTCTAGAGTCCTCCAACTCCTCCTTCACACAAAACATGGGGAAATAAGGGAATATTCTGCACTACTATCAGTTCTAGACAGTTTCTTTTCTTTTTTTTTGTTTTTTTGTTTTTTTGTGTTTTTGAGACGGAGTCTCGCTCTGTCACCCAGGCTGGAGTGCATTGGCTCACTGTAACCTTTGCCTCCCGAATTCAAGCGATTCTCCTGCCTCAGCCTCCTGAGTAGCTGGAATTACAGGCGCCGGTCACCATGCCCAGCTAATTTTTGTATTTTTAGTAGAGATAGGCTTTCACCATGTTGGCCAGGCTGGTCTCGAACTCCTGACCTCAGGTAATCCACCTGCCTCGGCCTCCCAAAGTGCTGGGATTACAGGCATGAGCCACCGCGCCTGGCCTAGGCAGTTTCCATCTTATTCTCTTCTAGGCTGTAGTGTGGATGAAGAGCAAAACTGAGGACATGATTGAGAAAAGAATATTCTCCATGACTGAACGATTGCCACCCATCCAGTCCATGGTCCACACAGGTTCCTTTCATATCCTCGTGGTCTACTGCGGTGACCTGATCCTGCGACTCTTTGGGGACCACTTTCGGGCATTCAAACCCCTGGGTAAAGTGCACTGCCGCTTCAACATCAGCTGCCTCTGCTATGACCCGGAAATGAAGATGCTTCTATCTGGCATCCTGGGAGCAGTGGTGACCTGGGTCATTGAGCAAAGTGGCACGGGCCTCCATATAGCCCACATGATCTCCATGCCAGGTGATGAGCTGGTCCAGGACATCGTGCTGAATGGTCCCAATGGCTCCCTCCTGGCCCTGTGTGAGACGGTGGTGAGGGTCCTGATGCGCCAGGGCAAGGGTCAGCTGGGAGAGGTAAAGAGGTTCATGTCCACCAGCAGCGGCTCCTCCATCACCTGCTGCTTCACTTGTTTTGATCAGGGCTTTCTCTATGCTGGAAACCAAGCTGGGGAAATCCAAGTTTGGAGCCTCCAGCAGGGCCATCCGCTGCATAGTTTCCAGGCCCATCACTCAGGAGTGATCTGTATCCGCAGCCGACCAGAGGCCCACACCCTGCTAACAGCTGGCAGTGACAGCCTAATCAAGGAGTGGAACCTGACTTCAGGGAGCCTGCTTCGGCGGCTAGAGCTTGGCGAGGAGCTGTACCGGCTCCAGTTTATTGACAGCATTACTTTCTTCTGCCAAACTGCCCATAGTTTTTCCTTGCGCCGCCTGCCCTGCTTCTACAGCCTCTTCAATGTCTGTGGCTCTGCTCCCCAGCAGTTGCGTCGGGTCTACTGTGGAAATAACTGGTTCCGGATCCTGTGTACCACCGAGGATGGCTTGTTGCGCTTTGTGTCCCCAATAACAGGGGACCTTCTGGTTATCACCTGGCCCTTCTCAATCGTGGACCGGGCTGTGGATTGGGCCTACGACCCAGGTAAAGAGGAGCTCTTTGTAGCAACAGGCAGCTCAGAGGTTCTGGTATTTGATACAACACGCTGCCCTTGCCCAGCCAAGTATCTTCTAGGCACCTCACCAAATTCTCAGGACTTTGTACAATGCCTGGCTTATGGGCATTTCAACTTGGGGCGGGGTCTAGAGGGACTGATATTCTCTGGGCACCAGAGTGGTGTGATAAGAGTGCTCTCCCAGCACAGCTGTGCTCGATTAGAAAAATTCATGCACTTTGGTGCTGTACTGGCACTCTCCACGCTGTCTGGAGGGATTTTTGGTGGCGAAGGAAACTCTCTGCTCTGTTCCTATGGAATGGATGACTATGTGCACCTGTCAGAAGCTGTGCTTGATGGGGTCAAAGTACAACTGCAGCCTCTTGCCAGCATCCTCAGCAGCTGTCACCTAACACATCTGATACTCTTGCCCAAGTCTGTGGGTGCCATCACAGAGACAAACTGCCTGCGTCTCTGGAAGTTCCATGATTTTATGTCCTCTGGGTCACAGAATGGCTTGAAATTCATAGAAACACTGCCTCTGCACCTGTGTGCCATCACATCCTTTGACGTCTGCCTCTCCTTGAGTCTTTTCGTCACAGGTTCTGCCGATGGCTCTGTTCGGATCTGGGACTTCCATGGCAGACTCATAGCCATTCTGGACTCATCACTGCACTTTGGCCCACTCTGTTTTGCAAATGACCGGGGTGACCTGCTTGTGACTTTTAACCAGAGTCTTTACCTAGTGTCCTGTTTAAAATTGCTTCCCCCAGCCCTGCTGACTCGCCTTTCCTTTATGAGCATATCAGATGAAGTACTGGAAATCCCTAAGCCTTTCATACCAAGCTTCTTCTTCTCCTTTGAGACCATGTTTGTGCCCAAGTACATCTACCTTGGAAAAGCACAACAGAAATTAGTGGGTCTGGAGAACCTTGTCAACAAGCGGGCCATTGCCTTTGACCATTCTGTGCCACATGTGATAGAAGAAGATGAGGAAGGGAGCCCAGTGTTACTGCGTTCCTCCATGCATTATTCTTTGCAGGACATGGAAAATTGGACGCAGATGAGTAAACGTTACCAACGCCATTATGTGCTTCCTCCCCAACTACAACTGACTAGCTGGGATGGACTCAACCCCTATCAGATATTGCGATACTACTTTGGTCATGGGCGGGAATGGCTTTTTGCCCCTGATTGCTATATCCCCAATTCAGTGATTCGTGCTCGTCTTTGGCCAGAGGGCACCCCAATATACCTACAGTGCAACCTGCATGCACCCCAGCGGGAGCTGGAATGGGACAGGTCTCAAGAATTCTTTTTCTGGCAGAGCAAGGTAAGAACTGTAAGTAATATAGAATATCCAGAGAAGGAGGATGAACAATTCCTAGAAATGAGACTTTCCAAGGATAAAACCTACAGCGTCCTTACAGATGGAGCAAACCGAAGTTGGCTGGGAAGAAAGATGAGTGAAATAGCCATTAATAGCATGATTGAGACAATGCTGAATATTATGGTCCATGCTTCCTTGCTGAAGTACCAGTACTGTGTTGGTGCACTAGGGCAAATCTTTGCCTCTTACCAGGTGTCTCCAGCCCTACGCTCTGAGACAGCCCGTCGGCTACTGGATGATACAACCAATTCCAACCCGCTGATCCGAGAACTAGCTTGGGAAGGGCTGAAGCGTCTAGGAATGATTACTCATCTTTTTGCCATGCCTCTGGCTCAGGGATTAATGGACAAGGATGAAAGAGTGAGGGTCAAGACTCTAAGCCTCATGGCTGAGATTGGAATCCACTCTAGGACCTCACTCTTACAGCTGATCCAGAAACAAGAGACTTTTCGGGAGATGCAGTACGTTTGTGCTTCCCTCAATTCTTCACCCCATTCCCCATTTCCCCCTCCTTTCCTTTGCTATTTCTTCATCCCTGTTTATTAATTCTTCCTGACGTTTCTTCTTTCTCATAGCCTTTGCTCATTCCTAGATGACTATTCTTGACAATCCCCTATTCACTCCTCCTCCTCCTCCTCTTCCTTCTTTTTTTGAGACAGGGTCTTATTCTGTTGGAGGCTGGAGTATAGTGGTACGATCTTGGCTCACTGCAACCTCTGCTTCCCAGGCTCAAGTAATCCTCCTGCCACAGCCTCCTCAGTAGCTGGGGCTACAAGCATGCACCACCACACTGGCTAATTTTTTGTAGAGACAGAGTCTCACTATATTGCCCAGACTGGTCTCAAACTCCTGGGCTCAAGCAATCTTCCTGCCACCTTGGCCTCCCAAAGTGCTAGGAGTACAGGCATGAGCCACCACACCTGGCCTGCTCACCCCTTTCTCCATTGCTTTTCCTATATGTCCGCTACCTCTTCAAGTTCCATTTTCATCCTTTTCTCCTGTTTCTACAGCCTCCAATACAGATCACTCCATTCATTGCCATCTTGGCTTCATAGATAGTTTCTTTTGTCTCAGCCATTATTTTCCTCTGCATATGCCGTCTCTCTTGGCCACTTTGCCAAGCCTCCTGCCTCTTCCACAGCCATTTTGTTCTTCCCATTCTCCCTTTTGTTCCTGACTCAGCATAGTCCTTCTTCTCCTTTGACTTTCATAGGCAGGAGATGATCGGGAAGGAAACTCTAGACCATCTGCTGGGGATGCGGGCCACAGATCTCCAAATCCTTTCCACTCAAGTGGAGCAGAGATTGAATGAAGACCTGACTCTGTCACATAGAGATGAAAAGCCGGCTTTTTCTTTAGATGTCCCAAAGGCTTCTGAACTTAAATCCTTCTCCGTGAAACCTCCTACAGTTTCTGAAGAACCTGAAGTGGCCGTCAAGCACAGCAAAGGCCACAGACGAGGCCGAGCAGTGGTCAAAAAGCATAGTATGTAAGGGGTAATCTGGTCCATGCCTCAGGGTCCTCAAGAGGCAGGGTAGTTAGGGTTAAAGTGGATCAAGAGATACTAGGTGGGCTGGCCAGACACAATGGCTCACGCCTGTAATCCCAGCACTTTGGGACGCCGAGGCAGGTGGATCACTCGAGGTCAGGAGCTTGAGACCAGCCCGGCCAATATGGTGAAACCCCGTCTCTACTGGAAATACAAAAATTAGCCAGGCATGATGGTGGGTGACCGCAAACCCAGCTACTGGAGAGGCTGAGGTGGGAGAATCACTTGAACCCAGGAGGTGGAGGTTGCAGTGAGCCGAGATGGTGCCACTGCACTCCAGCCTGGGTGACAGAGCGAAACTCCATCTCAAAAAAAAAAAAAAAAAAAGAGATACCAGGTGGGAAGAGAGATAAGTGGAAAGGTCTCATCATAGAAAAGGCACTCTCGGATGGGGGACTAGGGGAGGGATAACATTAGGAGAAATACCTAATGTAGATGACGGGTTGATGGGTGCAGCAAACCACCATGGCACCTGTATACCCATGTAACAAACCTGCATGTTCTGCACATGTATTCCAGAACTTAAAGTATAATTTTTTTAAAAAGTGTATAGATAAGGAAATTACAGTGTATTCATAAAATGAAATACTACTGTGATAAAAAAGAGTGATACATGCAACAACATGGAAGAATCTCAAAAACTGTTGAAAGAAAACACAAAAGAGCACATTTTTAAATGATTCTATTTATTTGGAATTCTAAAAAAGGCAAATGAATCTACAGTCACAGAAAGCAGATCAGTTGTTGCCTAGGGCCAGGGATTAAGGGTAGATAGATGTTGACTGGGACACTATGTAGGAGGGAATTTAGGGGGATAATAGAAATGCCTTATATCCTGATTGTAATTGCAATAGTTACAAGAGTGTATACATTTTTCAAACTCATCAAATTGTTTGCTTAAAATGGGTATATCATATGTAAATTATACCTCAATAAAATTGATTTTTATGAAAGCAATGAAGAAAAAAAAGACTTTCTAAGGAAGGATCCACTCAAACTCAGGAAGACTCTAAGGCCTAGCTCTCTAGGATTTGGCAGGAGTAGGGGGCTAGGAATAAAGCAAAGAGATGCTTTTTTTTTTTTAAGGCCTCAGTTCTCTTTGTTGCTACTTCTTTTATGACAGTTCTTCTTAGCTCACACCTAATATTTGGAAAGGTTTCATTTAGTTCCCCATACTTTGCTTACCTCCACCTCTCCATTTTTCCTACAGGCCGAAAATGGTTGCGGGGTCTCAAGAAGACGAAAGAGAGAGACTCTAAACATATGATCACTGAGCCAGGCCTCTTAGAGGATGAAAGTGGGACTGAGGCCGCACCAGTTGAGATGGAGGAAGCATCCGTCCATTCCAAATGGTCTTCAAGCACCAGTGTAACAAAGCTCTCAAAAGATGTTGACTCTCAAGAGAAAGATATCTCAAAGGATCACGTTGCATTGACCCTGAAGATGCTGCGGAAAATACGTGACAAAAGAGACAAGAAAGCAAGAGCTCAGAAACTCAAAAAGAAGCACAAGAAGAAGGGAAAAGAAGCCAAAGTTATAACTGAGAAACCTACACCTCCTGTAATGGGACAGCCAGTTACTAAAAAGGTTAAAATTCTAGGGCGCGGAGCCTCAGGAATATCTGGCCGCAGGTCAACCTCTGGAGATGGCTTATCATGGCGGGACGATCTGTGTCGTCTTATGACCCTGAGGATATCTGGTTCCCAAACAAAAATGTCAGAAAATCTAAACACTGAGCTAGTGACATTTGCTCAGGAGATGCTGGTAGATAGGCACCCCAGTTGGGAACTCTTTCAGGAGATCTGCCCCCTGTTGAAGAAAGAAAGTAAGGTTCTGCTTGAGGACCTTGATTGGGATGTAGTCCCGCCAGAGGAGAAACCAATTTTTATCCATGAAGGAGCAATTAGAGAGGACATGATACAAGGTGTGACAGAAGAGGTGATCAGACACGAAGTGATGCCAAGGGAAGAAGAACAAGCACAAAAGAAAGCAAAAGACATGCTGGCCTTGGAGGAAACCCAAGTGATTTTGAAAAAGGGCAAGAAAAAGAAAGTTATTTTTTTAGAACCAGGTGATGTAACCAAGGGAAAACAAATATCAAAGAAAGAAAAGAAGAAAACCTTTCAGAAGTCACCTAAGCAAGAGAGGAAAGCTGTCCAGCAGGAAAGAAAAGTAGGAAAAACAAAGAGGGAAATGCCCAAAGAAGAGAGGGATATGAGTGAGGAAGTGAAGGAAATGGCCACACTAGAGGAGAAAGTGGTTGAAGAAGAAGGAAAACCGGTTATGATTGAGAGGACATCGTCTTGGCAGGACTGGAAAAAGTCCTGGGATGAGTGGAAACAGGCCCATGGTGAGACAAGGAGATCCTGGAAGGCATGGAAGGAAGACTGGGAGAAGAGGCTTCTTCAGGAAGAGGAGAAACTACACCAGGCTGGAGAGAAGCTATCCCCGGAGGAGGAAATGGTTCAGGAGGACAAGAAGCTGAAATGGGAAGAGTGGAAACAATTCTGGGAAAATATGTTGCAATCTGAATCCAAGGAGCAACTGTACAAGGATGAGGAAGAAGTGACTTTGGAGGAAGAAATGTCTCGGAAGGAGGAAGAAAAAGAAGAGCAGGTCACAGAAGAGCAGAGACAGATCCGAGAAGAACACAAACGGGCCAGAATACACAGGAAACGAGCCCGAGCTGAAAAAAAACGAGCCCAAGAAGAGAGGAAATTAGCACAAGAAGAAGAGAAACTTGCACAAGAAGAGAGACAGTTGGCCCAGGAAGAGAGAAAACTGGCCCAGGCGTATGTTAAAATAACCCAGGATGACAGGGAAATGGCCCAGGCAGAGGGTAAGTTTGCCCAGAAAGAGGCAACACTGGCCCAAAGAGGGGAGAAGCTAAGCCAGGAGGTGGAGAAATTGGCCCAGAAAAGGAAGAAACTGTCCAAGAAATGGGAGAAAGTGGCTAGAGAAGAAGAGAAACTAGCAAAGAAAGAAGGGAAACTGGCCGAGGTAAAAAACATATTGGTCCAGAAAGTGGAAGAACTGGCCCAGAGGGAACAAAATCTGGACTGGCAAGAAAAGGAGCTGGCCCAGGAATTGGAGGAACTGGAATGGGACATGGAAGAACTGTCTTGGAAAGAAGAGGAACTGAATCAGGAAGAGGAGAAACTGATTGAGGAAAAGAAGAAGCTGGCTGAGGAAGAGAAGACATTGATCTGGCAAAGGGAGAAACTGTCTGAAGAAGAGACAAAATTGACCCAGGAAGAAGAGTTGCTGATCCAGGAAGAGGAGAAACTGGCCCAGCACAAGGAAAAAATGCCTGAGGAAGAGGAAAGACTGGGACAGAAAAGGGAGCAATTGATTAAGAAGAAGATAAAACTGGCCCAGAAAAGGGAAAGATGGATCAACAGCATGGAAGAACTCACAGAGAACAAGATGATACTGTACCAGAAGAAGAATCTGGCTCAGGAAAAGAAGAATCTGGCCCAGGAGAAGGAAAAATTGGCTCAGAGGAAAGAGAACCTACTCTATAACAAAGAAAGACTCACCCACAGCAGAAAGAAATTAGTGCAAGTAAAGAACAAATTGGGAATGTTCAAGAAGACACTGGCTCAGGTAGAGGAGAAGCTGACACAGGAAGAGGAGACCGTGATCAAGAAGAAGGAGAAACTGACTGAAACAGAGAAAAAATTGGTCCAAGTAGAGGATAGTCTGGCCGAGAAACAGGAGAAATTGGTCCAGGAAAAAATGAAATTAGCTCTAGAGAAGGCAATGGTCCAAGGAAAGAAACGGCTCAGAGGAGAGTTGGATATTGTTAAGGAAAAAAAGGCATTGAACCTGGAAATGAAAAGACTGGCTGAGGAGAAGATAAGACTGGTTGAGGGAAAGGAAACACTGTCTAAGGGAGAGACTCCAGAAACTTCAAGACAAAGAAAAATGACTAAAGTTGAACAAGAACTACTTGAGAGGAAATTGTCACTACAGGAGAAGATACTGCTACATGAAGACAGGATACTGGCCATGGAGGAAAGGGAAATTGCCAAAGGAAAACTGGAATTTACTAGAGGACGGAGAATATTTGTCCAGGGGCAAAGAAAGTTAGCCAAGGCTGAAAGGAATTTGATTAAAAAAAAGGAGAGCCTTTCCAAGGAACCAACAAAACTAAACAAAATCTTAAAGGCACTTCAAAGACTAACCAGGGATGAAAGGAAACTAACACAGGAAGAAATAAAAATGACAAAGATAAAGAGGTCACTCTTTGTTAAGGAGAGAAGACTGAGTACAGAACAGAGTAAGCTGGATATCAAAGAGTGGGATTTTTCTGAAAAACGATCAGAACTGACTAAAGATGAGAAGAAACTGGCTCGGAAGCAGAGAAAACTGGCCAAGGAAATGAGGAGAATGATAAACAGAGAAGAAAAAATGACTGAGGAAGAGAGCAAATTGGCCAGAAAGCATTCAGAAGTCATACTGGATGATGAAGAGGAAGGAGGAAAAGAAGAAGAAGAAGAGGTAATCCCATTCCTTAAACGAAGGTGGAGAAAGAGGAAAGAGGCCAAGAGAGTTGATAAACCAAAGGAAAAGTTTTCCAGTCAAGTGGATGAAGTGGAAAGTGAAGAGCATTTTTCTGAAGAAATGGAAAGCCTGTTAGATGAACTAGAGAAGCAAGAGAGTTTGTCTTCTGAGGAGGAGGAGGAAAGGGAGGAAGAGGAGGAAAGGGAGAGAGAAGAGGAGGAGGAAAGTGAGGAGGAGGAGGAAAAGGAGAAGGAGGAGGAAGAGGAGGAGGAGGAAGGGGAGGAGAAGCAAGTGGAGAAAGAGGAGGAGGAGGAGAAGAAAAAGAAGGAAAAGAAGAAGGAGGAGGTTCAGGAGAAAGAAGAAGTGTTTGAGGAGAAAGAAGAAATTACGAGTGAGGAAGAGATAGAAAGTTTGAGTGATGAGGAAGAGGAAGAGGAGAGCAGCTCATTGGAAAAAGAAATGGACAGGGAAAAAGATACCTTAAAAAAAGAAAAACTATTTAAGTTACAAGAACAAAGAAGAAAGATCCTAAAAGAAAAGGAAAGAGTCCTTTCCATTGGAAAAGGAGTTCCTCATGTCAAAGATGGGGCTGTAAGACTGGGAGTTCTAAAAAGCCCTTTGAAGAAACTGATGTCAAGAGCTCTGGAGATGAAAGAGAAAATACCAGTGCCAGTGCCAGAGAAACAAATATCCTGGGAAGATAAAAAGGCCACAGTAGTTGAAATACCCAGGAAATTCTCAGAGACAATGGATAAAGAAAGAGAAGTGATGGGAAAATATGAACCCATACCTCCACATGTTTTGGGTACAGTTTTAGAGTCCGAAGCACAGGACTTAAAGACCCCATTTATGTCCCACATATTAAGGAGGACCGTGGAAGGTCAGGAACTCCAACACAAGCCACTAGGTGCCTGGTGGAAGTGGTTTCTGCAGCATCCACCTCTGATGGGACAGACTGAGGTACAGTTACCTCTCTCCCAAATCCCGGCTAAGAAACAACATGCAGATGAAATCCTCTCAGATGTAGAGTGGATCCGCCATGTCCTAGAACGAATGGAAGCAGGAGAACAGCTTTCCAGGGATGGTTTCCACAGACTATGCCAGCTGCTCAAAGACCTCGTCTCAAAGGGAAACTTAGAATGGCTGAATCTGGCCAAACTTGAAGCCATCGTGTACCGTCACAGGCAGGCCCTGGAGTCACGAGGCACAAGGATCTCAAAACCCACTAGAGAGTCCATGAGTCCAAAATACCGGAAAGTGATTCCTCCTATAAAAGCAAAGGAAAAGGAGAGCTGGCCAAAACCTTTGGCTGTCCCCACACAAAAGTACCCATTAGCTACCGAGAGGATTCCAGACCCAAGGGCTAAAAACTGGCATCTTCTAGGAGAGCCTTACAGAAGTGAGAGGGCACAGCAGATATCCATTGCTCACAAGGAGATGGAAATGCAATACTTTTATCCTGCCACAAGAGACATTTTTCCAAGTGCCCATGCCTCTGTGGAAAAACAAACCCTGGCACTGATGTTTCAAAAGGACTTCTGGGATTTTAAGGATAAACGCAGGTTTCCCAGGTTGCCCAAATTAGAGAAGAAGAAACAGCCCATTTCTAAAAAGAAGGAAGAGTTGCCTTTGTGGGAGACGTTTGTGGCACTGTACTATGTTTTGCGGATGCTGCAGCAGCGATATGCAAAAGACAGCACTGCTTGGATGGAACAGTTCTACCAGCTCATGGACCTGTACCAACTTAAGTCCCCCAGAATCCAGAAGCTGCTTCAGGAGCTGCTAATGAGAGAGGAACCTCAACCCCAAGAGATCATCTATGAAGAGGCCCTAAAAGCCACAGAGCTAGTTCCCGGGGAACGGCTGTTCTGCTGCCTGTTTTGTGGCAGTTCTCATACTCATAGAAGTCCTCAGGAGTTTCAGGGTGTGGTACCCCTCCCTTGGCAGAACTGTGTGCACACCATCCTTCCTGTGGGCATTGCCCGGTATGGGATCTTAGAACTTGCCTGGAAAAGCCTGCCGGAAGCTGATCTTCATCTCACCAAGGCATTGACACACACTGTTGCTCCCACTCTCTAATTTGGGACTGACTGGAGGTTGGGACTTTTCATTGCCAAGTGGAGAAAGGCCTGCTCACCAGGATCTAGACCTTCATCTCTCTCTCTTTTTTTTTTTTTTTTTTGAGATGGGGTTTCACTCTTGTTGCCCAGGCTGGAGTGCAATGACGTGATCTCAGCTCACTGCAACCTCCGCCTCCCGGGTTCAAGCAAATCTCCTGCCTCAGCCTCCCGAGTAGCTGGGATTATAGGCATGAGTCACCGCGCCCAGACCTAGACCTTCATCTCTAGGCCCACACAGAGGTAGGGCCAGGTTGAAGCCCTTTCCCAGCTCTGGAAACACAGCTTCTATATGTGGAATAAAGAGGAGGTTCTTGTTTGCAACAAGCACTTTGATGTGTTTTTTCCCAGCAAACTTTAGTTCCCCAAGAAGGTAGCCAGGGAAACAACTTACTCACGTACTCCTGAGATGGGGGGAAGCTTCCCAAAAGACAGGGGTGCCCACTGTGTGGATGTGTTGAGGCAGACAAGTCTGTCCTTGTTCTCTTCATTCCTTCCCACCATCCTCCCCAAGCACTCTAAGAAGGAAAGTACCAGACACAAAAACTAATATATATTTGGCACGAATTTGAGAGGTATTGATATGGTGGAAAGAGAATGGGCTTTAGAGTCAGAAAATGCAACATTTTGTCCCTTAGTATTTGGGGTCCTACAGTGGGGCTGACTCTATTTTTCTGTTTGTAGTTCTGCATGCTGATGACTTGAGTTCCAGATAGCAGGAATGGTGGGTGTTGAGGAGATTCTCAGAGTAAAGGAATAATCTTCAACAAGTTTTAGCCAGTACCACCTCCACCTGGTGACTTCATCACTGGATGGCACCAAGGGGTGAGGCCATCTGACGTTGAAGCAAAAAAAAAAAAAAAAAAAAAAAAAATAGAGTTTAGACTAGGTATAGTGGCTCACGCCTGTAATCGCAGCACTTTGGGAGGCCAAGGTGAGAGGATCATTTGAGCCCAGGAGTTTGAGACCAGCCTGGGCAACATGGTGAAACCCCATCTCTACAATTTTTTTTTTTTTTTTGGAGTTGGAGTCTCACTCTGTCACCCAGGCTGGAGCGCAGTGGTGCAAAATTGGCTCACTGCAACCTCCGCCTCTCGGTTCAAGCGATTCTCCTGCCTTCGCCTCCTGAGTAGCTGGGATTACAGGCACACGCCACCATGCCCGGCTAATTTTTGTATTTTTAGTAGAGACAGGGTTTCACCACATTGGTCAGGCTGGTCTCAAACTCCTGACTTCGTGATCCACCCACCTTGGCCACCCAAGGTGCTGGGATTACAGGCATGAGCCACTACACCTGGCCTGTTTTTTAAATAGCTAGGTGCAGTGATGTGTGCCTGCTGTAGTCCCAGCTACTCAGGAGGCTGAAATGGGAAGATCACTTGAGCCTGGGAGGTTGAGACTGCAGTGAGCCATGGTTGTGCCACTGCACTCCAGCCTGGGCAAGAGCAAGACCCTGTCTCAAAAAAACAAAACAACAACAACAAAAAGAGGGAAGCTGATGTCCCTATGTCTTTCACTCCCTTTACTACTATCTAGACATGGAATTTGGGTAGGGTGATAGAATAAGAATTTGGAAAACTAGGTGTAGGCTCAATTAGGCCCCCCCAGTTACTTAGGGACCTTTCCTCTAGCAATTAAGGAGACAAGAGTTAAAGCAAAAGGAGTAGGCCGGGTGTGGTGGCTCACACCTGTAATCCCAGCACTTTGGGAGGTCAAAGTGGGTGGATCACTTGAGGCCAGGAGTTCAGGACTAGCCTGACCATCATGGTGAAAACCCATCTCTTCCAAAAATACAAAAAACTTAGTTGGGCATGGTGGTGTGTGCCTGTAATCCCAGCTACTCAGGAGGCTGAGGCAGGGGAATCACTTGAACCCAGGAGTCAGAGGTTGCAGTGAGCCAAGATCGTGCCACTGTACTCCAGCCTGGGTGACAGAGTGAGACTTCATCTCAAAGAAAAAAAAAGGGGGCAGTAAAGTTGTCACTGTTTTTCCCTGATCTCCTCTCCCTGCCATGGCAGAACGGCCTCTTTCCAGGTCAGCTGAGGCTTATTGCTGCTTCTAAAAAGTAGCCCATCTTTGCCATTTGCCACTCCCCACCCCAATCTCTCTTTTGTTATCTTACCTCCTCTACCTCTTTTTTTTATTTTGAGGGGAAGCAGAGGATAGAGGGCAAGAGAACATTCTGAGAAGTTAGATTCACCTCAGAGGCCAAGGGCAATAAGTGTCCTTGCTCTGCAATTGGGCTCTTCCATGTCAGATTACACGTCAGGCCATGCAGAATAGGTGAGAGATGGCCAGGCATGGTGGCTCACGCCTGTAATCTTAGCACTTTGGGAGGCCAAAGCAGGCAGACTGCCTGAGCTCAGGGGTTCAAGACCAGCCTAAGCAACATGGTGAAACTCCATCTCTACTCAAATACAGAAAAAAAAAAAATTAGCTGGGCGTGGTGGCAGGCACCTGTAGTCCTGGCTACTTGGGAGGCTGAGGCAGGAGAATTGCTTGAACCTGGGAGGTGGAGGTTGCAGTGAGCTGAGATCGCGCCACTGCACTCCATCCAGCCTGGGCAATAGAGTGAGACTCCATCTCAAAATAATAATAAAATAAAAATTAAAAAAAGAATATGTGAGAACTGTGGGCTGGGAGTAGGAAGTCTCAAAAAGGATGATTCACCTGACAGCCAGGCAAGGCAGCAGGAGTTAAGGATAGCCCAGCTGGCTCTGCAGTCTTGACCTGAGTCATTTCTCCTTTTGGCCTCTGTCTGTGTCAAAAAAAGGATAGTGCACAAATCACAAATATGAGGCATGAAAGAGGAGCCATCACTACAGATCCTATAGACATTTACAAAGATAAGAGACTACTACGAACAACTCTATGTCTGTACATTTGACAATGCAGATGAAATGGATAATTTCCTTGAAAGATCCAGAAAGAGAATAACAATACCTATCTGATTCATTTATGAATCTACCATCCATATTCCAATTTTGTCAGTTGACTTAATAATGTCCTTTACAGTATTCTTTCTCTTCCATTGTAGGAGCTAGTCTAGAGTCAGGATGTCAGTGAGTCCTCTGGTAAAAAGAAACAAAACCCAGCAGACAGCCTGTGGTGCTAGAGTCAGAAAGTCTATGAATGACTCTTCAGGGACCCTCAGAATTTGGGTATTGGCTGTGACAACCCAGATATTTTCTTGTGTTTGCCAGAATGTCAAAGAACAATTGTTTGTGTTTTTATGAAAAATTTCAGTCACAAAAGTAGAAGAGTTTTACAATGAACTCCCAGCTCCCTATCACCTATAATTAACATTTTGTCAAAATTGATTCATCTACTTTTTTCTTTGTTGAAGTATTTTAAGAATCCTAGACATCATATTTCAACCCTAAATACTTTGATATTTCAGTTCTAAAAAATAACATTTTTCTATATAATGATTTTCATGTCTAACAAAATAATTCCTTAATATCATCTAATACTCAAGTCTATGCAAATTTCCATGGTTGTTCCCCTCCCCAAAATGTTTTTTGTTTTTCTTTTCATTTTTTAGAGATGGGTTCTTGCTATATTTCTCAGGCTGGCCTTGAACTCCTGGACTCAAGGGATCCTCCCACCTCAGACTCCAAAGTAGCTGGGATCATTGGTGCATGCCACCATGCCTGGCTCCCTAAATGTCCTTTTATACTTTGTTTGAATCAGAATTCAAATAAGAGTGTGACCCTCTCTCTGACTCTCTCTCTCTCTCTCCCTCCATATACACACACACACACACACACACACACACACACACACACATATATAGCCAGGCGCGGTGGCTCATGCCTGTAATAGCAGCACTTTGGGATGCAGAGGCGGGCAGATCACTTGAGCTCAGGAGTTTGAGACCAGCCTGGCCAACATAGTGAAACCTCCTCTCTACTAAAAACTACAAAAATCAGCCAGGAGTGGTGGTGCATGCCTATAATCCCAGTTACTTGGGAGGGTGAGGCAGGAGAATCTCTTGAACCTGAGAGGCAGAGGTTGCAGTGAGCCAAGATCACACCACTGCACTCCAGCCTGGGCGACACAGTGAGACGCCATCTCAAAAAAAAAAAAAAAAGTTACAGTTGTCAATTTTATGTTATACATGTTTTACCACAATTGAAAATGGCAATATTATATAAGGCAAATAAAGGTTGTAGAAATGTTCCAGATTAAAGGACACAAAATAGACATGATAACTAAATGCAATCAATACCTGACTCTAGATGCAATCAATACCTGACTCTGACTTTGTTTGGTTAGAGATGGGGTCTCGTTATGTTGACCAGGCTGGTTTTGAACTCCTGGCCCCAAGCAATACTCCTGTCTCAGTCTCACAAAGTGTTAGGATTATAGGCATGAGCCACTGTGCCTGGCCTAGGTTTGCTCTTACAATGGAAGGGAAGGAATGCTTTAGGCTGGGCGTGGTGGCTCACGCCTGTAATCCCAGCACTTTGGGAGGCCAAGGTGGGCGGATCACCTGAGGTCAGGAGTTTGAGACCAGCCTGGCCAACATG